CAGGTGCCGCTAGATGAGGTTTCTAGAAATGGCCAAATGCAACAGGAGGTCTGCAGGGCAGAACAGCTAACGGCTTCAGAGAATGCAGGTGACGGCACGTTGCATGTTCCTCAAATGATGCCCGAGGTTCCAGAAGATTCTAGAAACAGAACAGGGGCTGCTCCTTATTGCTGGGGAGGTCTCAGGTCACACTGTCAGCCATGTTTTTCTGGACTGTCCCAGAGTCCCTATTTTCAAACTAACCATTTAATGTGGTACATCTAAAAGCTCCAGAAAGGGCCTGATTGGATTAGCGATTACTCATGCAGCAGTCGGCTGGTTCCTCAGCGATCCCTGCACAGGTACCGTGAAACGGCCGTGACGGCACATCGCTCTCTTTTCACGGTATTATCACAACATGTTTTCCCGATAACCTTTTGGCTTGGAACCATCATTTGCTAAATGGAACATTTCCCAACGTCACTTAATCTTATATCTCTGAGAGCATCTCTCACTATAAAATAGATGTCATGTCTATATATAGGTATACATGTGTATATGAATACATATGCCTGTATTTGTATATAAATCATTTTATTACTATACCTGCTGTGTATTGAAATTAAATTCCTTTATAAACATAGGCGTGGTTAAGGCATGTTTAGCTACCACTGTAAAGTTTATTATTCAGCTGAGAGGTTATTTTAATTTCCTCAGTGCATCCACTGGGACGCTAAAAAAAGGAAAATATTTCCACCCAGCAGGAGAGTAAAGGATGGTGGCGTGAAAACAATCTTCACACATGAATAAAGAAACAACAGATTTTTCTTAAAAATTTAACAGTAATTAGAGGTTATTCAGGAAGGGCACCCCCATTATCGCCATGACGATGACGCTGTTACAAATATCCGCATCTTCCTGGCCTCTTTGGAAAGCACACAGCAAAATAAAAATAGCTCATTCTGAATGATTAATAATGGGTCTAAGCACGTCCTGCTCATCTTACACAGAGCAAAATGTGTCCCCAGTCCCAGTCTTATGTACTCAGCTACATCTTCGGCTCCCGGTTTCAGGTGGGACTTATATTATTAATTATGATCATTTATTATTGATACAACATATTAATGATTAATTATGCTTCCTGAGATAGGCTGCAGGCCCGTTTGCCACTCTGACCTAAGATGGATGGATACTAGTGATCAGTCTGCCTGCCTGTCTATCTGCTTGTAAGTCTGCCTGTCCACCTGCCTGCCTCTGCCTGTCTGCACATCTGCCTGCCCACCTGCCTGTCTGCCCGTCTATCTGTCTGTCTGCCTGCCCGCCTGTCTGCCTGCCCACCTGTCTGTCTATCTGTCTGCCTGTCTATCTGTCTGCCTGCCCATCTATCTGTCTGTCTGCCTGCCCATCTATCTGTCTGTCTGCCTGCCCGCCTGTCTGGCTCTCTGTCTCAGGTAAACCTCGCCTTCTGCCATAATGTGTGTGGTGGTTTTATGCATCTATAGGGATAAGCAGACATGCATGAGATGGATAACAGCCAAGAAACTCCACGACATCAACACCTCACACGTCTGGCTTTTATTATCTCCGCAACACATCAGCTGCTGAATGAATACGAATGAAATGTGTGTATAAATGTGTGTTTGACAGACATGTAGCTGTAGGTGTAAATCAGGCTGGAATATGTTTCAGTAGCTTAGGAAGACACAGCAGACATGAGTGTTTGACAGACTGGGCCGCAGATTTATGCCTGTAAATGGCTGCGTGACCCAAAGTCAGTGTCACATTATTTTCCACTGTTCTTAAAGTGTGGAATTTCTAACCTTGAGTTTAGATTGACCTGAAGCGCTGCCTTTCTTCCACCAAAAATTAGTGCTCTGGGTTTAGCGCTGTGTGAAAATGGAGATATTCTGGCTGTTCACAGAACCAGAGGGATTGCTCTCACACCGCAACCCATGGCTTGTGCACGGCCTGACTGGGAAAATATTCCGCTATATTGAGGGTAGGGGTAGGGTAAAGGAGAACTCGTAGGGCACAGGATGGTGCAGCGTGGCCCCTGTGGATGGGCACAGGCATGCGGCATGCGGCACTGCGGGGCAGGTGGGCGACAGGCAGGGAAGAGAAGCGTGGGATTGCAGAAGTGAAGGGAAGCTGGGGGGGGGGGGGGATTGAGCTCCTGAAGCTGTTCAGATAATCCTGCCCTATAAGACAGCCCAGTCATGAACACTTCTCTCTGTACATGCATTTGTTTTATTCAACAAGAAGGCTGCGTGGCACGCTGCTTGTTAGCAAATCGGCACGCTTCGTTAGAGGAGAACCGTTTGCACAAAATGGGGCTAATTCTTTGATGCTAGTAAACAAACTGTATTATTAGAGCATGTTGGTAGCTGCACGCTCAGCTCCGATGGAACAGCGCAATCAAGACGAAACAAAAAAGGAATACAAGATGATTCTTAAATAAATCATAACAGAATTTATTTACGTTATAAAATGCTAATGCGTAACAGCCAGAGACACACATTGGCTGAAGGCTGGTAAAATAGGCCTTTTGCCAACAGCACAGGTGGCATGAAGCTGCCATGTCCCGCCCCCTTTAATCATCCTGGTCGCTGGGTGGCAGTCTGTCCCGGTGCAGCAGTAGTGCGCAGCCCCCTGGGATGGAAGGCGTGATTCTCTGCCAGCGGTGCGGTGGCCAGATGATGTGGGAGGCACGGCCATGGACAAGGCCCAGCGAGACCTGCAGGCAGGGAAGGTCGCCCGTCAAATTCAAACCCATGATTGTGTCCGATTCTGGTATATTACTGGGTGTCCTGCCTGCTGGGCACACCAGTAAGGTGTTTGCTCTATGCCCATTTTTTGGGTTTGTTTTAACTTCTCAGAAGCGGGCTTATTACCGGCCACAGTGAGGTGTTGCTCTATTTCTGTTTTTTTTTTTACACTTTTCTCAAAAGTGGGCCTTTTCCTGGCCCCAGTGGGTCGTTTGCTCTATGCCCATTTTTTTTTTATACCTTTCTCAGAAGCGGGACTTTTCCTGGCCCCAGTGGGTCGTTTGCTCTATGCCCATTTTTTTATACCTTTCTCAGAAGTGGGCCTTTTCTTGGCCCCAGTGGGTCGTTTGCTCTATGCCCATTTTTTTAACCTTTGTCAGAAGTGGGCCTTTTCCTGGCCCCAGTGTGGCGTTTGCTCTATGCCTGTTTTTTCTTTTTTATATATACCTTTCTCAGAAGCAGGCTTTTCCCTAGCCCCAACGCCTATGATCAGCTCTGCTACTTGGCAGCAAAAAGATTTTTGAAAAGCGAAACCCCTCAGCGAGACCTTCAAAGACCTGGTTTCCATGGCGGCCTGTGCGATGGTGAGAGGCACTGCAGGGGCCAGGGCATCATCATCATCATCATCATCATCATCGCTGGACTGGCTCTGGGCCCCGGGCACTGAGGGGCCCCTGGATTTGTGAGTTTGCGTTTGGTGGCGAGCCTCGTGATGATAGTCATGATGATGAGCTGTACTCACTCAATGTTCATATTCAGCATCTGCTCAACTACAATAAAACGGGTAGCATGCTGCAATGGACATTAAATTAGTGTTGAGCTTCTGATGGGTGAACCTGCTTGTTTATGAACCCAGGAAGAGTCCCTGGTGCTGTGGAGGTACCCAGGGGGGCCAGTCCAAAGAGGCACCCACCATCCCTGGGATGTACGACACCCAGAGTGAGAGGCATGGTTGTGTCCTTGAGAATGGCCACTTTAACATTCCTCCAGAGGTAAGTTTAGCAGAGGCAGACCCCAGGCAGCCATATAATTTTTACCTGAGCATCTGTCTTCCCCGACAGGCAGACGTAGAGCCAGGCAAGCAGGACAAGACCTGTGTACAGCATTTACATGTTGGAGGGCAACACAGTGTCTCGCCAACCTACAGCAATCAGGCTGCTCTAAGAATGTGATTCCTAACTCTCACAGAGGGTCTTTTTTATGTAAGCACGGCTGAAATTAAGCATGCTGATTACCTCAGTCTCATGATGCACTGGAAGTTAACAGGATATCACAGCACTTAAATGCAAAATGAAGTCATCCCGGCTAATTATGCAAATCAAGTGCAGTGCTACACGAACACTGCACGTTTGAGAGTCGTTTGCACGCAGTAGGAAACCTTGAGAAAACAACGACCCATGAAAAAGAAATATTTTTACAGCAGCCCCTTGGACAATTTAGTTTTTGACACACTCGCCCTGTGCAATTGACATATTTTGGTAACGCTTAAAGGGCATTTTTCAGTTTAATATGACATCATGGCATTTTGAAAATCGATCCTCTCAGTCGATCACAAATGTGAGGACATTATTAAAAGTGTGGTCCTGAAAGGCGAAAGGTGGGGTCTGTTTTTTAACAAGCCATCCACAGAGCTTCGAGCAAAAGAACGGTTTGTATTTTATTTCTTATTTTTTATCTGGTTGAATATCGTGTGGTGGAAATGTGGGAAATATTGCCACTGGACTCATCGCAGAGAGCAGCTGTGAACTGTCATCGCAGAGAGCAGCTGTGAACTGTCATCGCAGAGAGCAGCTGTGAACTGTCATAGCAGAGAGCAGCTGAACTGTCATCGCAGAGAGCAGCTGAACTGTCATCACAGAGAGCAGCTGTGAACTGTCATCGCAGAGAGCAGCTGAACTGTCATCGCTGTTTTCTTCATGCCTTCTGTATCTTTCTGTCCTTGTCCCTCACATCATGCTTAATTCATGCCAAAGTAGCACATCCAACACATTAGGAAATCTGCCATATTTCGATCATCCACACCTCCACTTCCCCGCCAGGTTCCCATCATATGTTTTATATGCCCCCGGAGGTGAGATGGTGTGAGCCATGATCACACACCATTCATCGCATGTGTGACCTCCATCATGGCTCCTTTGAAAAATGTAGTTCATGTTTACACAACTTTACATTCTCACCACCTCATTCAGACTGGCACTGGGTCATGTGGAAGCCCATCATCTGTTTCCAGTCCCCTGCGCCTGTAATCACTAACAGGAATGGTACCTTTAAGAACCCAGTAAGAAACTCAGTAAGTGGCAGAGAGATGTGTGGGACAATCTGAGAGCCGTGTAAAGTACTTGCAATTTTCTGGAGCTTGTGGCACAACCCTGAACCACTCATTTCCACGGCACACAAGCTCTGTCCCATTTGCTGCCTTTCTGCATCCTTCTGCCAACACTGCTGCTCAGGGCTTGGTCACTGCAGTGTTTTATCACTGCAGAGATATGGGATTGAGCAGACAACAGCACGCACAAGAAAGAAGGGGATGATATCCCAGCTGAGG